CAAGTTTCCAATATTAGAATCATCACATACAAATTATGAAACAGCCACACATAGTATGTTGAAGAAAACCAAAAGCAAACTTGAAAATGTCTACAAGGAACAGAATGTTGTAAAATATGAACAGGTTAGAAAATAATAAAATACAACTTTTGGAAATGAGACAATAACCTATTGGATGTGTGTATTTAGGAGCAGGTTGGAAGCAGTTGAGAATTAATTAATTAGATCAGAAGAATTAATCCAGAATGCAGCACAAAGAAAAAAGAGATGGGAAAAAACAGCAAGGCTTTAAGAATGGAGGACAGCAGAGCAAGATCTAATCTCTTCAATCACAGCTGCAGTAGGAAGACAGGGGACAGTGAGGCGTAACCTGCGAGGATTTAATGGATGAGGACTTTCCAGAACAACAAGGCATATGAACTAAAGAAGCATAAGGAAGCCCACGCGTAATAAATGGAACAACGGGAAAGACAGACCTATAAGGAGAAACTCACAAGCAGACAGGGAAAAGATGGGTTGCCCCCAAACAAGTAAGAGACTGACATCTAACTTCTCAATAGTGACAGTGGAAACCGAAAGATATTGTAGTGATCTACTCAGCATCTAAGAGAATATAGTTGCTAGCAAAAATATTCTTCAGGAATGGGAGTGAAACAGGGCAATTTGCAGATGAGAGAGTTTGCCAGGCCCAGGCCCTCACTAGAGGAAATCCTAGTGGCAAAAGAAATGTGTGTAATGGAATGAAGGGCAAAAAAAATAGGTTATAAATATGTAAGCAAATCTGAGTGAATCTTAACCATATGCAACAATAATAATCATTGTAGATTTCTGGATATTTTTGATGTGTGACATGCAATGTATATTCTTCTTTGTATGCCTAAAAACATCTTCTGTGAAGACTTAATGGGACTCTTCAATATTTGGAGAACTGGTTTTGTGTGGGCATCCTTCTGGATTTGATGCACTGACATAATAAAATTGGATTTAAGATAAAATACGATGGCTCATGTGACCAGGGTATAACCAGATTACCGTGTGTAACTAATCCACGAGAGAAGGTATCTTTAGAGATATAAATGTGGTCGTATAATCCTGTGGTATTCAGTAGAGAAGAATTCCATGTTAATTATTTTCCAATGGGTTTTATTTTTTATTTTATTTTTTCAAAGGTTAAGGACTGCTTTTATTGCTAGCAAAGACTTTTACCACCAGTACATGGTTCTAACTGTAATACCTTCTTCAGACAGCACAGGGAGCTCACGCTCCGGAAGTCATAAAGAGAAATACCGGTAGGCTGGGAAGGGAAGGAAAATAACTTTCATCAAGAAAGTCCTAACAGCTAAACATAAATCTAGGGTACTGAATTCAGTTATTACAGGTTACAGAACCAAAGCATAGAGCTGCCCCAACATCCAGACAGTCTTTCCTACTGATTATAAATGGGTGAAAATGGATCAGTTACAAACAAAACAAAACTTAGTTGTTACATGGTTCTTTGGTGAGCACCTGGATATACTAACTTTATCACAAATTCTTTTATATAGATGTCAAAAATGCTTTCAACAAATCTAAGAGTGTCCTAATTACACGCCACTTTTAAGCTTCAATTTAAGATTAAAAAAATGAAAACAAGAATTTTGTTTCCAATTGGTTTTAGACAAAATAAGTTCTCAAATTAGGAAAAAAAGTCCTTAGACAAAATTAAGTGGGCCAATCAGATGGGACCGGTAACTGAAGTTGACGCTACCATTTTGCACCAATTCACTGATTAAGAAACTTGATTTAAACACATACCAAACTGTTAGAAAGAAACTTTTTGACTCCTTGCTCTACTATTAAAGGATAAATTCTTACAGCTACCAATCGGTCAGGGAGTAGCTAGAAATTGTGTTGATGCATAAGGAAATACAAGGTAAAAATGTCCACGGCTTTTTGGAGAGCAATTTACCCCTCAGCTTCTCTAAGGAGGAAATTAATTCTCAAAAACAAGAGCTATTGAAGACTGTTGAATCACAGACCTGTACCTCTGAAACAAATAATACATTATATGTTTAAAAAAAAAAAAGATAGTAGGAAGGGAAAAATGAAGGGGGGGAAATTGGAGAAGGAGATGAACCATGAGAGCCTATGGACTCTGAGAAACAAACTGAGGGTTCTAGAGGGGAGGGGGTGGGGGGATGGGTTAGCCTGGTGTTGGGTATTAAAGAGGGCATGTACTGAATGGAGCACTGGGTGTTATATGCAAACAATGAATCATGGAACACTACATCGAAAACTAATGATGTAATGTATGGTGATTAACATAACAATAAAATAAAATTTAAAAAAAGAAAAAAAAAACAGCAAGAGCTATTGAGAAACATGCCAAAAGACATGCCAGTGTAATCTGGATGCTTGGAAATCCTGTAGTGCTGGTGCGGACTTCTGCCTTAAGAAGAGTCAGGCTGTGGGGGCGCCTGGGTGGCTCAGACAGTTAAGCGTCTGCCTTTGGCTCAGGTCATGATCCCAGGGTCCTGGGATCGAGCCCCACGTTGGGCTCCCTGCTGAGCCAGGGAGCCTGCTTCTCCCTCTCCCTCTGCCTGCTGCTTCCCCTGCTTGTACACTCTCTCTCTCTGTCAAAAATAAAATCTTAAAAAAAAAAAAAAAAAAGAAGAGTCAGGCTGTGAAAATGGAGTCATCTGGTTTTATTTTCCAGTCCGTGGTGAGGATTATGTAAGGCTGTGAGGCAGAAGCCACATGTGGGCTAGGCCAAGGCCAAGTGACAGCAAGGGATTCCTCAGCAAAGCAAATTGCAGCCTTACAAAGAAGAGTACCTTCTCCTCTGCCTCGGGCATGTTTTCAGGCTGTCCTGCCTGGCAATGAGGTATGTATGGAGGAAGGGAGGAGACTCCACCGCTCTTGCTAAAGTTGAGCTCAGAAAGAAAGAATGTTTGGGTGAGCTCCATTTTCTGGGAGAAAGCAGAGGGAAGAAGTGCAGCTGAGCTCAGCTGATCATGCAGGAAAAAATGCCATTAACCATAAACCAGACACAGTGACAAACAAACCTGTGTGATTCCGTAAACCTTGCAGTTTCTAGTATTTCTTATTTTTGTAATTTCATTTCTCTGTTTACTCTGGCTGCATTACAAACCACTCCGAAGTCAGGCAGACAGTACGTTACGCTCATGGATTCTGTGGGTTAGAAATTTGGACAGGACACAGTGGATGGCTTTCCTCTGCTTCACAGTGTTTGGGTCCTCAGGTGGGAAGACTTGAAGACTGAGGATGATCTGAGGGTGGGAACCTAGAACCAAACCAAGGGCTCATTCGCTCCCGGGTCAGGTGCCAACCGGAGCATCTACATATGGCCCCCCTGTGTGGTCTGACACCCTCATTCACAGCCGTGGCCTCAGAGTGGGTGGCATTTTTGGGTGGTGACTTCGTATACAAGGTGGCAGTCGCATCCCCTCCCTCCTCTACCCTTGCCTCAGCTCACGTGGGGTCACTTCTGCTGCATGCTGTTGATTACAGGCATGTCCCGAGCCTGCCAGCGTCACAAGCGAGGACACAGACGGCAGGCACGTGACAGTCGCGTTAGAAAATGCACACTGATGCACTCATCTATTTCACCGCAGTGACCACAGGTAAAACCTTTAAGAGCCAGTATGTCTGTGTGGGAAAAGTTGCCTTTCGGGGAAACAAGGGAAGTGGCCCTGGTACCTCCCCTAGCCATCAAACCTGATAGTCAAGAGAGCCCTGGGGCTGGCCCGGGCTGAAGAAGGAAGTGCCTCTGACAAGGAGCACAAGAAAAGCCTGTGATGGGACAGCTGTGCCATCCCACCGCTGCAGGCTGTGATGGGGGGAGGGCCTCTCCAGAGCTTCCAGACTACTCGCTTTGGCTCATCCATATGATCTGAATGCACCTGCAGTGAGCCTTCCCTGGTCTCGGTGTCCTGAGTAACAGACTCAGGGTCCCTCGGCAAGGCTAAAATCCACATCACCCAGGTTGGAGAGCTTGTTTGGCAGGAGACCTCCTGATGTGATCCGGAGGGCTTTAAAATTAAAACTCAGGGAAATGGAGGAAATGTGAATCTAAAATATAAAACAAGAAGTTGAAAATAATGTCTTATTTCCATAATACATAACACTGTGATTTCAGATGGATTTCCACTCGTGCAGAGAGTCTGAGATGACAAATAAATTTACTCCTTTAATAGAAGGCCATAAAGCTGGGCACCACCCTGTGTCCTCCCTCGCTCCCACCCTCCCTCCCGTCCTTTCTCGTAAACCTCTCCTTTCCTGGACTCCATCCGTCAGTGCAGCAGGATTGAGGGGAACTGATACTTAGATCCTCATCCCTTGTTAAACAGATCACACCCCTCTCCCACACCTTCCTTAAACACACATTAGTTACATTTTCTAGATTCTTCTGATAGAGGAAGTTGAAGAGCTGCAGTCATCAAAATAAGATATAATCAACCCCAGGAAGCGGGGGTGGGGGGGGGGGGGGGGTGGCTGCATTTAACTGGCCACACCTATGATAACTCATCCCTAAAGTAGCCACAGTGGAGGAGCACAGGAAGGGCCCTCAGATAAGGCCCAAAGCCAAGGTCAGTCATCTCAGGTCCCACATGAGAACAAGAATCAAAGAGGCTTTAGAGAGTGTAAGCCCAAACTCCCTCATACCCTAATTCTGCCCTGCAGTAACCTCACGTTGCTGGATAGAGGCATGTACAACCAATGTGGCGTGCTTCACTCCTCCCTCCCCAGTTTCATGCAAGACCTCGACATGCAAAGAAATACATGGCCAACAAGAAGAAGAAGCCACCAAATCACAAGAGAATATAAAGTAGGATAAACCCACAAGAAAATCCCTGCAAACTGAGAGATCATTTTCCAGGAGCACGAACAAGTGGGTGCCTTAAAACAAAGCTAATGCACCCGCGCCATCTTGTGGACGTTGCCAAACCTCCAGGCCCCTTTGCCCCAAGCAGAGCCCTCACTCTTCAGGAGCCTCATACCGTGCATTTGTCCTAAGGTTCTGGTGATCTCCTGAATGGAGAGTCTCAGTCGCTGCATGGCCTGGAGCAGGGCGTTCTGGCTGCGCTGTGAGATGGCATTCACGGCCTCAACAAGTGCCTGCAGAGGAGATTCATTCACTCAGTTCAGGAGCATTCAGTCCGCTGAGAGTGAGAGAGAGGCAGAGCTGGGGGAACCTAGAGGAAGGGCACCCCTCTGACTGCTGGGCTGTTTGGCAGGGCTCCCTGGGGGCATTCCTGAACTAGATGTCCTGAGAGCCAGAATCTTTCTGGGCACCTCCCAGATAGATCCCTAATTAAGTCTTTCTGGATCTTTCCCATTGGCTGCTACTTCTTGTAACTCTCAAGGGCATAACCCTATCAATTTTGTTCCTTCTTCTGTATTTATCTCATATTATGATCATTTCTACTTCTGCTTGCTCCTTCTGTGATCTTGAACTGGGGCACCCTCACTCCTGAGCTCTGCTGTACATAAAATCGGACAGATTCTGTAGATCCCTTAGCTTCAGAGCCCCCTCCACCAGGAAGCCTTCCTTGTCTCCAGCAGTCTCCACCTTATGTAAGCTGTATTTGGAAGACCAATACTTTACTCCGTATCTTTCAATGAACTAAACACAAGAATGAGAAGTAGAGTAGCCATATAGTTTCACTTTTGAGAGGGAAAGAGGTGTGCTAAAATAATTGTACCACAATCTGGTCACTCTACTGAGGACACAGTAAGCACTCAAAGTATGCTTAACAGGGAAGGCAGCGAGTGAGGAAAGACACAAATCTCACTTAAATATCTCACTTAAATAAGGCACACAATCTCTAGCTGATCACCTGCCATTCCACCTTCTTTTGTCTTACACCTGACCTCTCTGTACCCACCTGACCCCTGAAGGAATTCAAATTTGCAACCCCCCCCACCCCCAGGGCTAGGGAATCTCAATGATGATTCATTGTCCTCTGAAGCTTTGCATAACAGTTCTCTGGGCCAGGAATACCACTCCCCACCCCCCATTCCCACCCCCTGATTAATTCCTGTACATCATGAGGATATTAACTCCAGCTCTCATTTCCCTTTGCCTGACCCTGCAAGTCTGGATTAGGTTTTAGATGTCTTTTCATGAAACACTGCTTTTTTTTTCTTGTTACCCTATATATCTGCCCATCTTCCTCCACTGGACGGTGAGCTTCTGTGGAGGCCAGAGCAGTGTCTGTTTTGTTCCCCCAGAGACATCCATTGCTTAGAACTAAGCTAGTCTGTTGAGTGGACAAACGGTCATTCCAAGTTTTACGGTCGTTGAGGAACGGCAGAGATCTCTGTGGGCTAGAGTTCAGACATAAACCAAGCAGGACAAAGCCTGTCCATCTATACTGATTAGTTCACCACAGGGAGAGGGACTTGGTGGGAAGTAAAGCTCACACTAATTTCTCATTTAGGAAAAACGAAAAAAGTTCTGTGAAGACAATACCTTAATCCCAGGCACTGCTGCCTTCTCCACCAAAACAGCCACCAGTATAAAGCCACGCAGGCTCTCTCCCCCAGGAAATGAGACAATGAGGTCCAAGTTCCTTGGGAAGGAAATGACCACATGGTTAGCGAGGCTTGGACACCGCGAGGCGCACAGCCCCAGGCCACCTCAGAGTGAGACAACCATGAGAGCAAGTGGACTCTGAAAGAAACCCTCTCGGCTCCACAGGACTGCCCTGGGGAGGAGCCTCCGCCTCCAGCCATATTCCAAAAAAAAAAAAAAGAGAGAAAGAGAGAGCAGATCTATTCCAGCCCCCGTTCACAGGACCTGAAGACTGTGAAAGTCTAGCATGGCCCTGATGGTCCTCGCCGTTTCCCCAGGGGATCAGCTGAAGCATAAGTGGGCAGGCCCTGCTGATTCTCCAGCTGGGGCCCGTCACACCATTCCTGTCAGGAGCAGAGGGTCTCGGAGCCATAGTGACCACAGGCCATAGCTAATTCCATGCTCCTCTTTTAGACATGAAACTATGGCCCAGAGAAGCACAGTGGTTTCCCCATGCAGCTGATGAGTCCCAGGACCAGGGCAGGAATATCTCATAACTCAGACTAGTGCTCTTTCTCATCAGTGATTTATTTTTTTCCCCCAAGTGCTGTATTATAGTAGAATGACAGCAGGAAGACTGTTAAACAGGGATCGATTTTAAATGACCAGTTATCATATGGATGCAAATATCCCAGACGTCGATCCAGTCTATAAAACCGAAAACTTCACTCCATAAGTCACTTCTGCCTCTAACATCTTACGCACGACGAGAGATGAAAAACAAACACAAAAGAAAAATAGGTCCGGAACTCCATTGTGCCAGCAGAGACGATAGCGTGGAAGGTGGTGTCTTTGCCTTTCCACCCTCCATCTTCTGAGCTACAACTTTTATACTGAACCCCCTCCTGAGCTGAGGTTTGGCTCCTTTAGAGGGTAATTTTGCTCGCTGGGGAAAGAGGAGACTGAGGATGTCTGGAGCAGGACTGCCCCACGAGCGCCAGTCCGTGTAAAACAAGACATTGCAAAGGGATTCTTTTGTAGCTGGAGCAACCGCTGCCTGCAGCTGGGCCGTTCATAGACCTTATGGTGAGACCAGAGATCTTTTTCAGATCATCAGACTTCAAAGAATCACAGAGAATTAGAAACTTGGTAAAGTTTTTTTTTTTTTTTTTTTTTTTTTGCATTGCACTTTACTTGTTGCCTTATGCACAGATTGGAAAACATAGTAAAGAAAATGAATCCCCTAATCCTTACAAAGCAGGGCACCACTGTTAACTTTTGTGCTGTTAATTTTTGGCACATGTCCTTCTAGTCTTTTTTCGGGCATTTTTAGATAGTTTTATATACCATACATAAAAATTGGTATGCCTTTCTCTTTTATTTATTGTAAGCTTTGAGTTCACATGGATTCTAAAGTGAGTGAAGGACTTTGGAGAACTTACCCAATTTCCAAGGGTCTTCAGTATTGACAACCACAAAGAGAAAAAGAAAATAAAAGAACAAATCAGTTTGTACGCCGGATATGCCTTTTGCAGTCACATATACACAGGCATGCACATTTGTGTGCACACACATACCCATGCACACTTTGGATGTCACAGGTAGTGACTACACTGTGAGCAGAATCTGCCACCCCAAAATGCACTGCTTTGGCACACTCATCATTTGAACTAACATTACTTAAGAAAGAGCTGGTACAAGAAGGACACTCTGACCTTAGCTCCCCTGAAAGCAGGAAATAAATCTGCTACATGAAAGGTACCCTCCTGAACCAGGAGAATAGAAAGTGTCCTTATCACCTGCAATAGGGAATTTAGGGCTGAGAAGCCTGAGAAAACACATCTTATTACTTCTTCCCTAATTTGCTGCCCCAAGTCCAAACCCCTTTGTCTTATCAATCCTTACCAAATGTATTGCTTTCTTGTGTAAAAGGTATAGAAGCTGCTTGTTTTGGTCACTTGTTTGAGTCTCAGATTTTTATGGGCTCCTGTATGCACAAAATTAAATTTGTTTTTCTCTTATTAATCTCTCTTACGTCAAGTTAATTATCAGACCAGCCAAAGAACCTAGAAGGGAAGAGGGAGAAGTTTTCCTCTCCTGCAAGCTACTGTGTGACAAAGAGGGAGCTAAATCTCAGCTCATACACGAGCCCCAGAACATTTAGCCTGTGGCCAGCATCATAAATTATCTTCTTCCTTTTATATGTTTGTAATTGCCACAAACCCACGTTTCTATTGTAGCTCTTCTACTCTTACTCGCCTTTAGCATGTACCTAGGTCAAGTTTCACCCCCTCACCAAGCTACTTCCTGATTTTTTTTTTTTTTGTAGAAGTCTGAATTTTTTTTTAAATGTGGTAATAAACTTGCTTGCATGAGGTTTATTTTTTTTATCTTACAGATTTTATTTATTTATTTGTCAGAGAGAAAGAGAGTGCACAAGCAGGGGGAGCCGCAGAGGGAGAAGGAGAAGCAGGCTCCCCACTGAGCAGGGAGCCTGATGTGGGGCTCGATCCGAGGACCCTGGGATCATGACCTGAGCCGAAGGCAGACGCTTAACCCACTGAACCGCCTAGGCACCCCAACCAGAATCATTTCTACACATATATTTATTATTTTTTTTCTGTCAAAACTCTGAGCCAGATTTAGCAGCTTTTTATGAGAATATTGGTCATCAATTTTGTTATGAAAGCAGAATTGGTCAAAGATCATTATTAATAATTATGGAAAATGTATCCTCCCAGAGCTCAGAGCTCCTTAGAGAGATGAGATGACCTCACTTCTTCCAAAGGCCACACAAATTAGTCCAGAAAGGTATATTGTCTGTTAAGTGTTTAATCCTCTAGAACAGATTCCCATCATCTCTGAAATCCTGTGGTTACCCACAAACCTCATGCTGAGGAAGTTCCTCCTCACATCTAACCTAAATGTCCCTTTAGCTATTTTATGAAGTCACAAAGCATTATCTCTTGCATCTATAGCCTGAAATAAATTTGGCTGTGATAATAAAGTTCAAAGGGAAATTAAATACTTCCTCTCTTCCACCCATTCTGACTATTGTTTGTTAAAAAACTCTCGCTACTTCTTTAGACTACTGCCTACCTACATTCCCAAACCAGCTTTCAGAGGATTGATGCCAACTAGGTAGAAGAGATGGCATTATTTATCAAATTCTCAATCCAGCTTATCTAGAGCCCTATGCCTAATTCACCCATAATCATTCATTTATGATCGCTACATCATGATCACTTACTGAAGTCACTGGTCCTAATTTGACATGAATGGAGGGCGTGTTAGGGCACAGGAGATAATCTGATGAGAAAGAATGAGCAAAGTCTAATCATGCAGGAGCTTGAAGGTCAAGTTGAGATCGGATGTGGAAGCAAACGAGCAAACAAGAAAAATGTAGCTTGGACCAATGTATTCAGAGTGAAACTGCTGGGAACTGTGATTTTTGAACTTGTGTTCAGGTTGATCCTGCTTTGCAACCATAAAGTAGATAATAAATATGAACATCTCTAATTGCAAGTGGCTGAAAAACCCAGGGCCTTTACTGTAGGAAGAGTAAAAGTCACAGGGCTGCCCTTTACTCAGTTTCAGTCTGTTCACATCCAAAGCACTCACTCTGCATCTTACCTTTCTGGATTCCTAGGGGTCCAGTTTGTCAGCACCAGGTCTGAGTGGACCAGGATAGGAGGGAGCCCCAAGTTTCTGGAGACTTCAACAAGGGGAAGGGCAAGATTTCTTGGCAGAACCTTTTAGATATAAATCCAGATATATACAATCATGATACGATAGACAGAATATACAGCAGATAGATAAATCCAGATACATATGACTGTGATACAATACGATATGATAGAATATACGACTAGTATATTCTTGAAAGAATGCCACAGAGGAAGTAGTCATGGTTGCCCTCTATTCCAGCAATCCTGTGGTAGAGAAATGACCTGGGCAATAAAACTGATATTATCTGAGTGATCCATAAATACACACCTCACTTTCATATTTTTTTTCTGTTTACAATCTAGTGGATATATTGTTTATAAGTACAAGCTGAAATATATAATAATATTACAAAGCTGGAGCACATACATACAGATATAGCATAAAATGATCTCTGAAAATTGACTACAAAGAAGGGCATCAAATGTTTGACCAAATGTTTGAACATGAACTGGGTTGATGCGTAGTGGGAAAAAAATCTCTATTTCTATCTACTTATCTATAGACAGAGACAACTACATAAATATGTTGATATATCTGTGTGTATAAGAACACAAGCATATTTACACATGTGGGTATGTATGTACACACGTACGTGTGTGTGTGTTTATGTGTCACTCAGGAAGAGGAATGGGGAGGATAGAACACTTCATCCTGTGTGGCAGCCAACTCTGTCCATCACTTCATAAGTCAAACCCAATAATACCTTCAAGTAAGTGACCTCAAGACAGTTCCCTTTCTTTTTTTTTTTTTTAAAGATTTTATTTATTTATTTGACAGAGAGAGACACAGCGAGAGAGGGAGCACAAGCAGGGGGAGTGGGAGAGGGAGAAGCAGGCCTCCCACTGAGCAGGGAGCCCGATGAGGGACTCGATCCCAGGACCCCGGGATCACGACCCAAGCCGAAGGCAGTCGCTTAACCGACTGAGCTACCCAGGCGCCCTCTTTTTTTTTTTTTTTTTAAAGATTTTATTTATTTATTTGACAGAGAGAGACACAGCGAGAGAGGGAACACAAGCAGGGGGAATGGGAGAGGCTTCCGGTGGAGCAGGGAGCCCGATGTGGGGCTCGATCCCAGGACCCTGGGATCATGACCTGAGCCGAAGGCAGACGCTTAATGACTGAGCCACCCAGGCACCCAAGACAGTTCCCTTTCAAACCCTAAGTTATCTGAGGACCACTCCAAAGAGACTCATCTGCCCACAAGTCCAGAAAAACTATTCAGATCTATGGGAGACCAGAAAGGGTCTCTTATTTGCGGACAAGGCTAAATTAGTTTGGATCCAAAAGAACATTCTCATGCTCCCTATCTCCCACTTCCATTTTTATTTCCCCCTAAGATAAAAGTATCTATTAAAAGAGCCCCACTTCTGCCTTTGCTTTCCCTTAGATTTTTAGATTAGACTTGGGACAGAACTGTTTTTTAGGTGGAAAACAATAAAGAACTTTCAAGAGTCTTAAAATTCAAACCGAAGTTTAGCTTTCCTTGGGAATCAGGGGATGAGGAGGGCAGTGCAGAAGGGCAGTGTCTATTTCAGTGAAAAGTTAAAAGATGAGACGCAGAGAAAGTCAGGGATGATCTGAGGCCATGGCCAGGGGTTTCCTGTTCCCCTGGAAGTGAATGGACACACCTCGTTAGAGACTCCCTCTCCTGTCAGCCTTCTTCACTCCACTCCTTCCCCCATCTAGGATTATGGTTTGGAGAACCCAAGGGGGAGGGGAGCCCAGTGGGATGGTTGGTAGTGTGCCTAGATTCCATACTTTCTTATATCAGGCACACAATTTTTAAAAATAAGATGTCCTAACATTTAAAAACTCTGAAGCAACTCTATACTTTTCTCCTCTCTTCTTTCTCAACCTCCCTTCCTTTTCCCATGGGAGTTTCCCGTGTTTACTTGGAAGAAAAGAGGCAAGATCAATCAAGCAAACCAAAGAGGCTGGGGCTGCTCAGTGAACATGAAGTACTGGAACAATGTAAACTCCAATTCCTGGAAAAGGGACACTTCTGCAAAATGAGAGGGAGTAGTGCTTTTTACTACTGCTGTCAGTGGAACTCAGAGACTTCACCTTGCAAGGTTCAAGCTGAAACCATAAAAAGTTAAGTCAAGATTCAGAAGAGATTTAAATACATTATTAAGAGACCAATAATCAGTAGAAAGAAAGGAGTATTAAAAATTTAAAATTAATCTTGTTAATGTCAAAGAGTGCCTCTAGGGAAAGAAGTTTGCATTGGTGAATCAGAAGGTCTGAGCATGGCCTTGCATTTTACACTAACTTGCTCTTTGACCTCGGACAAGGACTTTATCTTCTGTAGTCCTCAGCTATCTGTAAAATGGGCATAGTGGAGTTTTACTTACTTTATGGGATTGTGAAAATCAAGAGATAATGTATGTGCAGAGGCAGACAAAATGCGGTAAGAGGTAAGCTATCATTAAGTATTTTATGAGACCTCAGTTCTTGCTTTCAAATGCATCTTGAAGCATTATTGCCAGAAAGAAAACAGATGTGAAAGCTAATGAAAGGGAGAAATGGCTACAAGTTCTAAAAAAAAAAAAAAAGAAAATTACCTTCTTAGGGAAAAAAATTCTTTCATTGAAGTGGGCCACTTGCCCTTCCTTCAATGGATAGCCAGAGAAAAGAACAAGAAAGGACCTATCTTCCAGAAAAACAGTGGGGGGCCAAGCAGGGAGCGCATTCCAGGAACAGCCCACCTGCCGGACTGCAAGGCGGGCATCTACTTGCCCCGTACCTCTTCGGGCTGTGTCTCTCCTCTCTGCCAGACGTAGCCCATGGTCATGAAGCTCAGGACCAAGTGGGCCAGGCGCTGTTCCCGGTAACTCTTGAGGAACTGGCAGTCCAGCAGGGGCATCTGTTCAAGACAATATGCACACATTATCAGCTGCAGGGCTGAGGATGGGCACAGGGGTTCTCTGACTGGAAGGGCTCGTCAGGTGTAGGGAACAGGTTATATTTTTGTGGAGGAACGAAGAGCCTCCGTGCACACCCATTCTCCCCCTGATCTGAGGACCCTGCAGTATGGAGGGATTCCGGGCAACATTGTTCAGGATGTACCGAACCGCTCCACCCAAGCTCCCTTATGGCCCCCGTGGTTGTGCCAACCACTGGTCGCCTCCACCGAACTGACAGATTGGTTAGAGCGTTCTCGTATAATGAATTCCCGAGACCGGGATCGTTTACTTCACGGAGCGTACCGTGGCAACTTTTATAGCCCTACCTATCAAGGCAGCTCTGCTTCCTTGACATCCTGTAACCCCGGTAACAAGCCTGCGCAGCGGGCCTGACTCAGCTTAATTCCGAAGTAAAAGGAGGCCCAGTGGAGTTGGGAATTTGACCAAATCCCTAGGCATTAGGGCATTAGCCGAGCTGGGCCAAAGGGTTGTGCAGCCCCTGTTTGAACTCTTCCGATGACCCTGGCTGGGTGTTTTCACCTCTCCATGCCCTTTTCCTCGTGGAAATGTGTCACCTGGAAGTTTACTGATGGCGTCCTCATGAAAGCCACACCTTTCACAGAAGTTAATTATTGACAGCCCTGCCTAAAGAACAATGGGTTTCTCACTTTTGCCTGGAACAGCCTTGCCTGTCTTTGTTGACACCAACAAGGAGCTCCAGCTTCCTGGCACGCCCCCTCCCCACCTCTGCTCTCCTCCTTCCTCCCATGGCTGGCCCAGCTCTAGACGCAGCCTCATCCAGATCTTCCCCTCTCCGGGGTCCTTAAGTGCCGCAAAAGGTGGTGGCGGACGTCTTGTGTATCCTTTTAAGCTCCAGGCACCCCCGAGCAGCCTCAGACCTGCTGCTCCTCCCGCCCGGGCTCCCTCCCGGCAGCTCGCGGAGTCCTCCCTCTGCTCTCCGCTAGAGGGCAGCTTTCCGCGTCTGTCCGCCCCTCGCAGCTGCGTGTTTATTCCTCCTAAAAATTGGCTCTGATAGAATCACAAATGCAACGTGCTCTAGGCTTCCGTGCTTGCGTGTGTGTATGGGGTGAAGGGGGGCGGGGTGGTGGCTGCTGAAATGTTGCATTTCAACGGGAAGCAGCCTGAAAATTCTAATAGTTATTGAGTACTTGTTATAAGGCTCCTAACTAAAGTGTTTACTAGGCAGGATGCTAAAAACTTCCCACGCCAGATGGTGTTCCATCTTCCCCCCAAATCCACAGGACAAAACAGTCAGAGAGGGTAGGTATTGGGTCACAGACCTGGGAGGGACTGAGCCAGGGTGTTACTTAAGTTCTACTGACCACTGTCCTGCTTTCTCAAGTTAGCACTCCCTTGATAGAAATATGAGAGCCACACTTGTAATTTCAAATTTTCTAGCAGTGACATAAAAAAAAAAAAATACTAAAAAGAAACATGAAATTCGTTTTAATAACATATTTTTCTATGTCAGTATATCCACACAATATTATCAACACATGGTCAGTATAAAAATTTTGAGATATTGTGTTCTTTTTATAGTAAGTCTTCAAAATCCAGTGAGTGGCTTATTTATCAATTTGTCTTAACCACATTTCAGACGTTCAATAGCCATAAGCCCCTCTTGGCTACCTCTAATGCAGCCTTAAGGGAAAGGAACAAAGTCTGAGTTGGAAATGTGGCTCTTGGTTAGAGGTTTTCTTGGAAATTTCTTGCACATTCCAGAGTCCCTGGACTCTCCCTTCCAAGCAAACAAATAATTAAAAATGAAAAAAAAATATTTAGAAAAAAAATAAACAACAACAACAAATACTCTTCTTCGTAGTGGAAGTTTTTTCTACAAAAAACGATGAAATGGTTAGGGGAAGAATGAGTCATAAACTTAATGTTTTCCTCAATTTAAAGCAATCAACTTATGGGGCACCTGGGTGGCTCAGTCGGTTAAGCGGCTGCCTTTGGCTCAGGTCATGATCCTGGGGTCCTAGGATTGAGCCTCACATCCGGCTCCCTGCTCAGCGGAGAGCCTGCTTCTCCCTCTCCCTCTGCCTGCCACTCTGCCCACTTGTGCTCTCTCTCTATCAAATAAATAAATAAATCTTAAAAAAAAAATAATCAACTTGTTTTCATATTTGTGTTTTAAGATGGAAAGTAAATACAGAAGTTGTAAAATGCAATCTCATTACAGTTATAATTTTCATTTTCCTGATTATTAATAAAGGTTAGCATCTTTCATATGTCACTTGGTCAGTCATGTTTGCTGTTTTGCAAAATGTTCATGTTTACTGCACCTTTTTTTTTTTTTTAACTTGGTTTTTTGTCTTTCTGTTTTATTTCCAGGACTTTGTATATCCAGGATACAAATTTTTTTCTCAGTTATATATGTGATAACATCATCTTTCAGTTTATGGCTTGGCTTTTCATTTTCTTTATGGTCTATTTTGATGAATGCAGGTTCTATTTTAATGAAGTGAGGTCTATCAGAAAAATATCCCAATTTTAGTCATTAGGAAATCTTCCTTAGTCCAAGTACATATTCTTTTAAATTCTCTTCTATGACTTTTACATTTTTGTCTTTTACATATAAATTCTTAACCCATCTGGAATGAATTTATTTTTGTTTATGATAAAAGTAGCCAATCCAGTGGTCCTCTCTGTTTATTGCTGGCCCCATATCATCTGATTTTAATTTTTGTAGTTTTGTATTATGTCATGATAACTGATAAGGCAAATCTTCTCACCTTGCTGTTGTTAAATATACATATATTTGTTAATTTACTATGTAACATGGCATGATAAACTAAACATTATCTTACTTTCATAACTTCCACATCTTTTTTTTTTAACATCTTGTTAAAAATAAATATAGAATTTTAACTCCATCATCATGTTAATGCACTTTGGCCACAATACTATGTCCATACACACACATGCATGCACAAATTATTTTAGAAATTCCTTCTTATTTCACAGACACATTAGTAGTGATTACTAAGAATTAACTGTACCCCCCCCCAAAAAAATTGACCATATATTTCATTAATTTCATTGTTTGGGGATGTTTCTTAAATACTCATTTTTCATCTTTCGTGAGTCCTTTATTCTGATTTAGATTCAGGATGCTAGAATAATTTTTGAACATTTGAGACAAAGTGCTTGGATAGTATATTTTCTTATTTCTTGATTTGACTGATAATTTACTTTTTTTAGTTCTTATGGATGGTCAATAAAATCTGGGTTCTAAATACCTTTTCCTAAAATTTTATTAATATTCATACATTATCTTTAAAAAATATCAGTATAGACAGACATATCTTTATTTTATACTTTGGATTATAACCCAATGCTACTTTATTTACTTGCTTGCTATATTGTTCTATATGGGCCACTGGGGGCTCTTTCAGGTTTGTTTCTGTGTCCCATTTGACATGTCCCAACCTTTCGTGTTTGTTTGTTAGCATTCCTTTACTTTCCAGCAGTGCAAGATGTTTCATCTTGTATTTGCCCTGTCCCAAGTTTATAATCAGCCTTTTCTCCAAGGAGCCCTAGTTCTTTTTATTGGAGAAGGGTTATTTGTTCTGACACTGGGCTTGCCCATTGCTCCTGGGAGCCACTGCTCCTAGGTCTTCACAGGGGACAAAGCTAGGAACTGTGTCGTGTGCATGTGTGTCCACACATATTACATATATCCATATCCATATAATATTGATTTATCCACATGTGTTTATCTATTTACCCACATATGTAATGCTAAGCATGACTTTATACTCATGTCTCCAACTCTAATCCAGGGCCACAGGTTGATTCTAGCCTTCCCCTTTGGCCAATTTATAACTTTCATCTCTGGCAGCAAAGTATCATCCACCATCCAACCCCCAGAAAAACCAGTTTCCCAACTAGAGTATAGTGATTCTGTGCAATTCCTCTTGAGTTTGGCCATACAGATTGCAGCCACAGCATCGTTTCCCACCAGGGCTTAGATCAGCTCCTTTCTCTCTGCTCCCTCTTGCGAAGTTGTCATACATCTGGAACACAGTTACGCTTGTTTGTCATAGTCTGCATTCCATCCCAAGATTCCCCCCCAGTTTCGGTTAATTTTTTTTTTAATTTGCATACAATTCTCTCTTTGTGATATACAATTCTATGGGTTTTGCCACCACCTGAGTACCCCACAGAACAGTTCTAACATCCTAAAACTCCTCCTGCAGTAGTCAACCACCCACTTCTTCCTCCTCAGTCCTTGGTAACCACTGATCTGTTTTTGGTCCTTACACTTTCGTTTTTTCGAGAATGCCATTTGAACGGGATTATACAATATACGGTCTTTTGAGGGCACCTGGGTGGCTCAGTTGGTTAAGCGACTGCCTTCAGCTCAGGTCATGATCCCAGGGTCCTGGGATCGAGTCCC